CCCCCCCCCCCCAAATCTGTGATTTAAAATTAAAGTCCCCCCTTACTGGTGCTCCTCATTCCCCAACCACAGCCCTGCCAGAGAGGCCCCCATCTGCCAGGGCTACAGGGCCAGGTGCCCAGGTCCTCAGCCTCCTGTCTCCAACAGAAGGCAGTGGCTGCTGCAAGAGAAGGAGCATGGAGCTGGCTTCTCCCCTGCTGCCTTCCTGCTCTGGGAGGGGGTAGGGCTGGCTCCTGGTTGCAGCACGCACTCCTGGCAGGTGGGGGGGGACCTGTGCGCCCCCCCCCCCCAGATCTGTGCGCAGGGCAGAGACAGGGTGGGGGCGTGCTGCAGGGGCATGCAGCAATGAAGGGCACAACCCCACGCTGCCGCTGCCCATGCAGGTGAAGTGTCGCCAGGGCAGCGTGGAGCTCACAGAGGCAAGCAGCCTCACTCTGCCCTGCTGCACCAGGCTGCACACGCTGTGCTGCAGAGGCCCTGGGGAAGGGCACCAGGGAGGGGAGCACGAGCCCTCAGTGTGCACCTGCCTTGTCTCTGCCCCGTGCACAAGTCTGGGGGGCATGGGTCCCCCCTGTGCCCTGAAAATGTGTGCTGGGAAATAGAAAACTGGGATCCCTGCTTGGAAGAACAATGAAAGTTGAGCAGCTCAGCTGCTCCTCACCCATCTCGTGCTTGGCTTGCTCTGATGTCTGTTCACTGCTGAACCCAAATTCCTGGGGCTTTGTGGGCTATCCCACTGCTGGTGCAGTCGCAGCTGCACAGCTGAGGCTTGTGCTCCCTGTGGGGGAAATGACCAAGTCTTGATCAGCTATTTCCTGGCTTGGCCGTGGAGCCCATGCGAGGTTCTGGTCCCGCCCACTCTCTGGACACTTACTTATGTCAGCATAGATTTCCAGCATCAGTCTCGCTCCCTGTGAAGCTTCCTGGTTCAGCCAGGTCTAGGTGAGGTACTCATCCCAACTCTTCCAACTTTGCGCTGGTTTGAGTGCCTGGGTAAGTCCCGGGTGCTCAAATGATTCGGGCTGGGGTGCGAGCGGTGTCTTTCTCTCCTTTCCTTTACCAACCCTGCCAGTCTTCATCAATGACCTGGAAGATAGTGCACCCTCAGCAAGTTTGCAGATGACACCAAGTTGGGGGGAGTAGTAGATACACTGGAGGGTAGGATTCAGAGTGACCTAGACAAATTGGAGGATTAGGCCAAAAGGAATCCCATGAGGTTCAACAAGGACAAGTGCAGAGTCCTGCACTTAGGACAGAACAGTCCCATGTACAGGCTGGGGGGCTGACTGGCCGGGCAGCAGCTCTGCAGAAAAGGACCTGAAGGTTACAGTGGACAATAAGTTGAATATGAGCTAGCAGTGTGCTCTTGTTGCCCAGAAGGCTAACAGCATACTGGGCTGCATTGGTAGGTGTGTTGCCAGTAGGTCAAGGGAAGTGATTATTCCCTGCTTTTCAGCACTGGCAAGGCTACATCTGGAGTACAGTGTCCAGTTTTGGGCCCCTTTTGGGCTGTGGACAAATTGGAGAGAGTCCAGCAGAGGGCAACAAAAATGGTGAGGGGGAGGGGGAGGGGGGACATGACTTGGGAGGAAAGACTGAGGAAATTGGGCTTGCTTAGTCTAGATAAGAGGAGACTGAGAAGGGTTTAATAGCAGCCTTCAACTACCTGAAGGGGGGTTTGAAAGAGGACGGAGCTAGACTGTTTTCAGTGGTGGCAGATGACAGAACAAGAAACAATGGTCTCAAGTTGCCGCAAGGGGAGTTTAGGTTAGATATTAGGAAGAATTTTCTCACAAGGAGGGTAGTAAAACACTGGAACAGGCTACCCAGAGAGGCGGTGAAATCTCTATCCTTGGAGGATTTTAAGACACAGCTAAATAAAGCTTTGACTAGGATGATTTAGTCGGGGATGTTTCTGCTCTGAGCAGAGGGTTGAACTAGGTGACCTCCTGAGGTCCCTTCCAAACACTAATTTTCTATGATTCTGTATTGGTATTAGGTTTTTCCATCTGTTTTATTAATGAAGTTTTAGAAACAACATTTCTCCTCCAGGATTACACAAGCAGGCAAAATGTAATAAGCTATTCAAAAGCAGCTTAAGTTGAACTTATCCCTGAATAATAATACTTTTTAATTTCCTACCTGGAAATGCTTCAAAGACAATAGATTGAATCAAACATTGCATCTCTGAAATGGCATCAAGATAGATTTATGTCACTACCACTTATTAAAATAATAATGATAAAATAAAAATACGAGCATCCAAGAAAATAATCTTTAAGCAGCAAAAGTAGGAATTGCCTAATACAGAATAAATCTTAATCTATCAGGTGAACTGGGTTTTCTAAACTACATATCTTTATTTCAGTTCACTTCCTTATCTATTCCACATACCTTCTTAGACTCTTATCTTTAATACTAGCCAATTGCCCATCATGAATGATGGATTTAAAATAACAAAGGAGCATTTACATGACCAATCCCTGCTGCCCCCTGCCACCCTCTCATCCTTCAGGGCTGGCCGTGTAAACACTCCCTGCACTGCCACTGCTGCCTCCTCCAGCCACTGCCCACCTCCACCTCCTCCCTTGAGGAGCCAGGCTTCCCTCTGGCCCCCTGCCTCCCCTCTGTCCCCAGAGCTTCCCCCTCCCTGCCATCTGTTGGGTGGGTGTGTGTGCTTCTGCCTTTGCCCCCTGGCCACCTCCCCACCCAGGCCTGCAAAGCCGATTTGCCGCTCGCCCCTTTGGCAGCACGTGCGCAGTTGACCAAAAATGTTAGACGGACAGACTAAGCCCTTTATTATTTTAGAATATGACTTCTATAATTAGCAGCCTTCGTAGCAAGTAAGGCGTTTTTTGTTTGTCTAAACTTTAGTATTTTGCCAATGCATTTATTAATTAATAAGGCTATAAAGAAATTATTTTCAAGGCCGTTCCTTTAAAAAGGAATGTTATGGTGTAGGTGTATCTGCAGTTTAGTAGGTGGGTCGGTATCGACCTGGAGGGATGTGGGTAATGGGGTCCCATGGGGTTCAGTCCTTGGACCTGTACTTTCAGTGTCTTCATCAGTGATTGGGATGTGGGTGTGAGGTGTACTCTGTCTAGGTTTGCGGACGATACTAAATTGTGGGGTGGAGTGTACACTCTGGAGGGTAGGGGACGATTGCAGGCAGAGCTGGACGGGTTAGAAAAGTGGGTGGTACACAATAGGATGTAGTACAACAAGGATAGGTGCAGAGTGCTGCACCTAGGGCACAAAAATATCTAGCACACCTACTGGCTGGGAAGTGACCCTCTCAGCAGCACAGCAGCGGAATGGGATCTGAGTCATGGTGGACTCCAGGATGAACGTGAGTTGTTAGTGTGACGAAATCATCAGCAAAGCTAACCGCATTTTGTCCTGCATCAGCAGATGCATGACAAGTGGATTCAGGGAGGTGATGCTTCCCCTCTATGCAGCATTGGTTGGACCACAGTTGGAGTGCTGTATTCAGTTTTGGGCACCGTACTTCAGGAAGGATGTTGATAGACTCAGGAGGGTCCAGAGCAGAGCCACTCGTATGTTCAGGGGTCCACAGGATGGGCCCTGTGGAGAGTGACTGGGGGACCTGGACCTTTTCAGCCTCTGCAAGAGTAGCCTGGGAGGTGATCTTGTGGCCACCTACAAGTTCATTAGGGGGATGCAGCAAGGGATCGGAGATGCTGTGTTCACCGAGGCACCTCTTGGGGTGGCGAGGAACAATGGTCACAAACTGACAGAGAGCAGATTTAGGCTGGATCTGAGGAAAAACTTCTTCACAGTAAGGGTGGCCAAAATTTGGAATGGGCTTCTAAGGGACGTGGTGCTCTCCCTTACCTTGGGGGTCTTTAAGAGCAGGCTGGATAGGCATCTGGCTGGGGTCATCTGACCCCGGCACTCTTAATTGCCTAGGCAGGGGGTTGGACTCGGTGATCTGTTGAGGTCCCTTCCGACCCTGGCATCTATGAATATAGGACTCTCCAGCTGGTGTCCCATGGGCTGCCCTATGGCTTGGAAGAAGTTAAGTTGCACCCCCCAGGCTTCTGCCTGGTTGCTCCCCTCGTTACTCTGTCTGTTGTTGCCCTCCAGCATCATTCTTGTTTTCCCCCTGCTCTCCCTGCCCACCATACTTAGGCTTTAAATATGTTGGAAGACTAAGTGCAAAATAAAATTCTGTCCATAATCATCCTGTTGGATGAGCAATAGGTACCATATATAAGGTACAGCTTGGAAATGAATACACCTTGGGGAATGTTGAAGATTAATTTTAACTTTATTGCACTTTTCATAATGTTATATTCATAATTAAAGTGTTAGCTTAGTATTTAGTATTTCTGTACCTGCATGTGAAATTCACATAAAGTGATTTTAATGTTATGAAATAAATTCATTTTGCTTTAATGTCAGGGGCATGATTTCATAGAGATACAAATTTTGCTAAGCAAATCTCATCTTGGTTATAAAGCAGGAATGGGTTGATGTTTTTATTTATGCTTGCTTTTTTCCTCCCCTCCCCTTTCTGCTCCATTTTATTTGTGGGGGTAACAAAAGGCCCCCTGATAACAATAGTGACACTGAAGATGATGCAGGAGATCTGTCTGTGACAAAAGCCAGGCAGCAGTCTTTGCATAGGTGAGAAGTGAATCTCTTGCTCAGTACTTGCCTCAGCAATCACCCAGTAGAAATATTTCACCTTTTTTTTTTTTTTAGATTGTAGAATAAATAGTCCCTGCCTGTGTTTTGCTGAAGACAGTATTTCTTTCTAGTTGTTTGCATATTTAAGGGACAGTAGAAGAAAGTCACGTGTATAGTTTTAATTATTTCCCTCTTTAGGAAAAATGAGCCCAACAAACAAGGACGAAACATAGCATCTTTTTCTGATGTACCACCTCTGAAAAGTGGATTAAGCTCCCTAGCTGGAGCGCCTTCACTAAAGGAACATGACAGTAAGTGGGGATATTTAAATCCTTTTCCATCTCAAGTGAAGTAGAGAGAACTTTTCAGTTTTAATAAAAGAAATGTAGGTATAAGGGTGAATAATAAGCTAGTACTCTGCCTCCTTGTGGCTGTAATGTATGTTACAATGTGTTTTTTTTTCATTGCATCATCCCATACTCTTTCAGGCAGTATGATGTAGGAAGGGCCTCTTGCCTGGATTTTTAGCTGTCAACCTATACCAATCGGGATTTGTTAGGGAGGTTTTTTGTGTTGTTTTGTTTTTAAATCAAAGTACCTATTTTAGCTATGTTCTGTGATTTATGTACAAAACAACTTCATAAAGCTTCACCAGTCATTTTAATTGAAAATAAGACTTAATATTTTTCATATTTTTTCACAGACAATGCAAAAATAAATATATTTGGGGGTATTATCTTGGTGGATCAAAGGAGACTGACTGAGTACTGCAATGTGAAAATAAATAACCAGTCTTGCTGCCCTAAACTGGACTGTCCACATATAAAAGTTATTTACCATATCTAAGTGTTTGCACGGTTGGGTTATTGCATATATGGAAAAATGGTACTACTTTTAGCTGGTGATTGGGTATGTTTAAGTAGAGGCTCAATACCAAAGAATCACATGTTCAATTTATAATTCAGATATTTTTTTTTACAGACTCGACTAGAAACTCTGTTTTGAAAGATCTGCAGTTGGTCAATGCAAAACTTGGATCGCTTGAATTAGGTAAGTAATAGTTGGAGCAAGAAAACTTGAATGTCCTAGTTGCAAGTTCTAGCTCAGCTCCTGAGACAAATTCTGAGACCCTGAAACAGTGATAACCAGTCAAAACCTTTAGTCTTCCATTATCAGTCACTGGGACTCTTCCTTAAGTTACGACAGTACTGTGTGGTCTGTTATACAGTGCACATAATTTCAGTATGCTGTTAGGATGTCTTTACGCCATATAAAACAGAAACAGGCCATTTGATATTTTTGATTTTGGTAATAACTTTATATCTTAGTCTGGTACAATGATGCTGCTGACTAGAACCACCAGGGGGAGCCTGAAGTAAGAGCAACTAATTTGTCCTGTAAAGCAGTCAATCTGCATAGAGCTGCTGTGAAATATTGTTCCCTTTTGCTATTAGAGTTATTTCAGGTACAGTATTTAATTCCTCAGTTGTGTGCATTATACCATAACAGTGGCTGGTTGTCATTGTTCCCTACTCTGTGACAAATCCACATATTAAACTACTGTTCTCATAGTTCAGAATTGTGTTCTAAAATGGATGTTAATTTGAAACCATCATTTTAAAAGGATATAGGGGAGAAAGTTTCAAAATATAAATATTAATTAGGTATATTAATTTTTAGTGGGTTGCAGTGGGAATTAGGATCATAATTGCACTTGTGCCTTTGACATTTTTAATGGGATGAAGTCCTAATTTCATTGACAACAAATTTACAGCCAAAGGATGCATCTACACATGCTATTACTGTGCATGAATAAACTGCAGAGCTTATTGCACTGCAGTTTATTGCTCCTGGGCGCACCATTTGAACATGTGCCTGGGAGCAATTAACTGCAGAGCAATAAGCTCCATAACTTATTCATGCACAGCACATAAAGCCATGTCAGAGCAGGTGTGGCTGGCAGGGGGCCCTAAAGGTCAGCCTCCCAGCCTGAGGCTGCTCCTCTTGGCTCAACATGCCACAGAGGGACTGGCTGGGGCACAGGGGTGCTTCACCATGAGGCTAGCCTGCGGGCAGCCCCCACACTGAAGCATCCTCATGTCCCAGTCAGCTGGATCAGTGTTTACATGTGCACTGCTGCAGAACTTTTTTACTTTGCAGCAGGATAGTACTTGTATTTACTACTATCCTGCTGCAAGGGTAAATTAATTTACTTCGGCCTAATAGGGATGCATGTGTAGAAGCTGAGATGTTTACTGCACAGTTGACTAATTAGCTGCACAGTAAACATCTTGTAGATGTGCCCAAAGAGAACTATAAATTGTTTGACTTTTGCCTTTCAGCTCAGTATCCAACATCCCGAAAGGTTGGCCTTGATGTAAGGCAGTGATTTCCAGACTTTTTGGACTATAGAGCACTTGTAACCATCAACATTTCTTGCAGATCACCGTGTACCCTTCTCATCAAACTTTTAATTGAAAAGCGTGGGTGTCAGTGCAGTTCATGGACAGTGGTTTGAGAAACACTGATGTTGATGTTTAGATTCAGAAAAGAGATTGAGGTTAGCTAATTCTTATGTGAACTTGATTTTTTGCCCCACAATGTTGATAAGATCTATATTTATTGCTAGTTCTCACTTATTAGTAAACCCTGTATTTTGATGCAGAAATGTAACTGGAACTTTGCATTTCTTGCAGAGAGAATCTGTTTGCATCAGTAAAATACTTTTTTATTATTTAGGAGCTGGAGATGAAGATGATTATGCTGATGATTTCAACAGGTAAGAGGAAAAATACTTGGATGGTTCTAGCTTAATATTTAATACATTGTAAAGATGCACAATTACACAGTTTTTTGTTAGAACAGAAATAGTTCAATAATATCTCAGTTTGATAATGCTACCTTCTTTTGTATGTCTTTGAACTTCTTTCAACTTTATTTAAAAAGTTAGAAAACTTGGGATGAACATGAGCACTTCATACGTTACTATCTATAGGATACAGATAAGCTTTAAGATTTTAAGAGAAAATGCCCTTTTGTGAGCAATACAGTGTTATAACTTCTTTTTTAACATAATAATTAGCATTTTTTCTAAAGTGGTAAGGAATTCAACAATAATATTCAGTGCCCTGATCCCACAGCATAAAGCCATAGGCAGTACTAGAATCTAAATCAGTATTCCTACAGCTTAATTCAGTTTTAAAAATAAATTCTATAACTTATTTTTCTTTTTAAAATTCAGTGTTGAGTGATTTTAAATCCAAACAGTCTTTCTTTTAAAGTCATGTGAGTAGAGGAAATTATTGCACATCAGAAAAAAGTCCAGTTCTATCTACCTAATACATTTTTTCTTTGTTAGTATCAGTCACCGCTCAGAGAAAAGTGATGTCAGTATTGGAGAAGATATAGAAGAAATTTCTGTGGAGATGGAAGACCTCAATGCCAGTGATAAAGTAAGGCTTTATTTGTGTGGTCATGCTTTTAATCTTGTGTTGAATAGATTTGTCTTTTTGTAGTCATATCATACTGCTAGAGATTCTTTTGGCACAAGCGGTTATAGTTTTGCCATTAAACTGTCACTTGCGACCATTATCTTTAATATAAGGTTGGATAAAATTAACCATATGATCTAATCATTAGGCACCTTGATCTACTGTGTCATTCAAGGCTATCCGGATTCTGAGTGGCTTGGGACCAAAGAACTACTCTTTTGCACTCCTTCCCTCCATCCCTGGTGCTCCAGCACACTGGCTTTCTCCTAGCCTCCAGCCATGGGACCCCTCAGCCTCACTGGCCAGGCTGCCCCATCATGTCCCCAGGGGCAGAGACAGGTAGCAGAAGTTGAAGGAGAGCTGGGGAGCCCAGAGACTTGAGCAGCGGGGTGATTGGTGCCTGGACCAGGAGCCTGGGGGCCACAGTTTCATCCTTCAGGCTGCATATGGCCTGACAGCTGCCAGTTAAACAGCCATGATCTAGTTCGTAGGCATGTAAAAGGGTTTAAGTTTGACATTTGAGAAGTTGAATTATGAATTATTGTCTTTGCCTGTGCAAGTGTTCTTTTACTGTCCCCAATTGAGTTGAATAACTGAAGGAAGGGACAGGGGAAAGATGCTGGCTGTCATATTTCCATACCTTTAATTTCTTTTGCCCTTTATAAATTAGGAAACTATAGGGTCTTCTGGGGCGATTCTTTTGTAAATTTCAATATCTAGTCAAAGAGCTGCTATTGCAAGCAGAATTACTATGTTTATAAAATTGCAGTCTGCATGCAAACAACAGATTGCTCTCCAAAATTATATCTTTGTGAATTTTTTAAAACTGTTAAAATTTATTTGTTGGAATTTATTCTATTTAAACTGCTTTTTTCTTTTCCTGGCCTGATTACTGTTTTAGTTGATAAAGTAAAAGCATTGTCATTATGAACTGAATCCCAGAAATGCATCTTATTTAACTTCATTGGGGATGGAAGGCTTTACATTTCAAGGAACTTGACCCCTTGGCCCTTAACCTAAAAAGCATCCTTTTTGTAGGACTGCATAACTTCATATATGTTTTAGTCAGATTTCTAAATTTATTCTGTACTTATTTTCTCTTCTAGCTTGACGATGCAACACAGGATCTTACTATTTCTCAGTTAAGTGATGGTGCAGATTATCTGGAGGACGTGGCATAATGGGACAGCAGAAATACTTGTGTGCTGGATTGAGGATTCTTGTGGAGTTATTTTCAGACAATCACTCCTTGCTGAAATGTCCACTCCCTTATATGTGCCTTGTGTTTCAAAAAGACTGCAGGTGTAGAGAGCTCTTAAAAATTCATAACAAGAATTGAATGAAATTGTTCATTCCAGTTGGAGTCGAATATTGGAACTTTTGTTCATCATTTGGTTCAGCTATAACTTTTTCACACCTGGAGTTGGATTTTCCCAACAGGATGTCCATTGCTGGCGATGGATATACCAAAATGCTGGTCTATATAAGAGCATAACAGATGAAATCAAAAAAGCTTGCAGAACTTTTACACAGAAATGTGTGTTTTTTCTGATGAACTTAATGCTGTTATGATAACAGGCTAACTTTTTTAGCTAACCAAAGCAAGAAAATTCAGAGATAGCCCTTCAGCTTGCTCCTGTTGACTTTATTGTAGTAAAGAACCCAGTCTGAGTGATACAACATCTGGTAAATTTGCTGTAATTCCTGGTTACTCCAGCCCTACTTTTATAAAAACAGTGGTTAGGACTTTTTAAAAAGTGGCTAGGTTTGGGGAGCTAAACTAATATCTGAATTTTCTGGAAAACAGGCTGTTTTAAGGTGTCTTCACTTAAAGCCCCCAAAATTGAGTGCCTATGCTCACTAGGTGCTTTAGAAAGCTTGGCTGTAATATTTATTTCTAACTCTGAACTTTCTTGTTCTAGTATGTTTCTTAGACCATTCAGGTTACTCTAAAGTACTGTTCTGTGTGATGATCTTCATTAATGTTAACAGTTGTTAAAATCGCAATAAATGCGTGATTCACTTAATGATCCATAGATTGTTAACACCAAGAGGACCTGGTTAATGGTTTGTGGCGCTCATGTTATTGAGGGCTCTTCATTTGTTGATTCACTTTCATTGTTTAAAATTCATATGGTTTTGAAAATGAGCGCCACAAAGTCTGAAATCGCTAACCTGTCTGAACAGGTTTAAATCCAAATATTCAAAAAAGTAGTATGCCTAAGACACAATGCACACTAAGTTTTAGCCAAGAGCTAGTTTTTGTACTTTCATTATAAACTCTTGAAAAACAGGGTCAGTAATGGAAATATTGAGTTCCTTAAATATACTGTCATGCATGGCGCTGCTAAAATATATAGGTCAGAGACATTTGTAATATTGAAACAAGCCTTCAAAATGTGCACTTTTTAATGTTATGAACACTGGCTCATTGGAAAAGAAATGTGTAAATGGATAAAGATTACTTGATTGCTTTTTCTTAAAGATTTGTAATTTTATTTCTGGTGAGCTGTTTAATTGCCATTTCAAAACTAGTAATATCCTACAGCACCACCATTGGTTAAGCATATAGATTTGTTACTATGAGCTGAGTCTGCCATAGACCTTTATGCACTAAGCCAGCAGGCATGGAGCAGTGTTGGAAGGTTATGCTTGTATAGTGATCATTTAAGAAGAGAGGAGGGTAAGTGTGCCTTTTTATTCATGTGCACCTGAAAATAGCCAGCATAAAACAGCTGAATTAGTCATGGAGTTAACTCCCATGACCTTGTGCCATATTGTAGACAACTTGATTCTCCTGGATTATGGTGTATGCATGAGAAGTCACCAGGACCTTCAACGCATAGACCTGAGCAGGAGTATGGAGAAGTGGAGGCTGCACAGGCCTTTTATCCCCCTTCTTTAGGCTACGGAGGATCCAAAGGCCAGATCAAGTCCAGATGTTCAGTGCCTCAATGGCTGTAGTTATATATGTGTCCAGGAATTAAACCCAGGTCTCCCATGTGGCAGACAAGGATTCTCCCACTGAACCACAACAGTGGGTTGCCATGTAGCAGCTGAGCAGAGAAAGGAGACTCTACCTGCTCAGACCATCCTGAAATCTATGTGCCACAGACACAAAGTAGCAAAGATCTTGTAGCATCATACACACCCTATCAGAGATGGTTTTAAAGTGTGGGAGAGCCTGTGCCTAGACTTCTATCAATAAAAGGGGGTGTTTAAAATATGTGAAAAAAGAGAAGCTGCATATGCTTTTGCAAGAACTTGTGGGAACACATGCTTGTACAGCATTTTGAATACATGCATGAACCATTTAGAGACACTTGCATTTCCCATATCTCCAGTAAAACAGAGCACTTATGCTCCTCTGTAAGCTATATTGAATATGGTAGTTTTTGTCATCCTAATAGGTAATAAATTACTGGTAAATGTTTATAAATTGCATTGTAGAATGTGGCCTTTTTTTCCCCCTTGAACACCAAATTAAATATTTTAGCTGTTAGTATTTGAGAAAATAAGTATTATTGCCCTTCCTCTAGGGGTTGACAAGGGATAGAGAACTTTAGACTATAATTGAAGCAGACACCAAATGTGGGTACAGCTCTTTGCTGTTTTTCCTGTGATTTTAACTCAAATGTGTATAATAGTTTTGTTGAAAAATAAAGCTACTGCACTGGCTGGATTCTTAGAGTATCTTATCAAATATCAGCTGCAAAATTTAGAGGCTTGGGTAGGATAAGAAAATCGCTAAGGTCCAGGGGAGGGAGGAGGGGAGGGATTAAAGAATGTAT